TTCAAGCAGTTTGGCTCGAGTCTATGTCACGTTCAAGTCATCGCTGGGCAAAGTCAATGAGGAAATATAATATTAGGTTATCGGAAAAGTCTGCGCATTTTCTTCTTCATCTTGCAAAATCTTTTGGGATCGTTTTGAAACATTCACTGTTAAACGCATGTGAGCGGTGGTTAATGCTCTCTCCACAGCATTTCTGTCGTAGCATTTCGCAGCGTTTGAAGCTGAAAAATCGTCTTTCACTGAAGGTATGTTCGACTGCTCCTGCTTTTATAAGCCCACAAAGTGCGTCGATTGAAGCGACGCAGTAGGAGGCCTACGTGTTGTGATGGACCTCCAGACTATCTTTCACAATGTGGCAATTATTTGGTTGCCGATGTCTAGATACCTGAGAAAAAACCACAAATCTGGTCGGCCTGTTACACTAAATGAAGAGTGTATTCTGAAGTCGATTGGGAAGGGTTCCTGGTGCCATGCACGGGAGCTGCCAGAGCTTTTTAGTGTTATCAGAGCACAATGGCCGTTCCTCAATATCTCCTCAAAAAGAAGAGAAATTATGGCAAAAGAGATTTCGTGATCTGGGTGACAACCGCCTTCAGATGCCTTCAGATTTTGCATGAACATTTTGATTTAGCCGCCTGTCTCTCATTTGACCCGATAACTTTGCTGGTGCGTAGAACGAAGGACTGCAACGCTGATTCAGAACCGCAACCTGGGAGGCAACTTTGAGAGCTCATGAGGCTGCAAGCGTTTCGCTCACGGAGAGCTGCTGCCAACGAAGTCCACTGCTATTGGTGAACAATAATGTTGGCAAGTTGATCGGTTCGCTGGAATGGCCCATGAAAATCTGGCAAAGTTCACTTTCTCTCTGCAACGCTCGTCGACGAATTACGAAGAAGATCCAGCAAAAGTCTCCAAGCTCCTTATGGGACGATCTGACCCACCTGGTGTGTTTAGCAAACCTGGAACAGACAGACTACCATAAGCCTCTGCTGCCGTCGAAGCAACCGAAGGAGAGGTAGTTCGATGATCCGAACATACTCGGACGGGACTTCGTCTAGTTTTTCGTCTCAAAAGCTCAGGATTTCTGAACCACCGGTAACCAGAAGTTACCTGCTGAAAGGCAATCTTTCGGCGATTGTGATGGTGTATGCATTCGACAGTTGTTGACCGTACCAAAGA